CAGTCTTGGAGGCTCAACTTGGACAAATTTTCATCGAGTTCTTAGGAACAGACTTCACAGAATCATCTCAAAAAAGGAGTGACTGAGTAAAGAATGAATGAGTCTAAAGCGTTTATCCTGCTGTCCAAACCTATTGGCCATTTTATTAGCATACTTCATGGATAACGCATTGTTATGTGTGATGATCATATAATTCCATCTAGACTCATAAAGCCTGGCAAGTCTTGATAACAAAGAGACATAAGAAAATGTACAGCTCATCCTCCATCTTCCTCTCAGAACACGCTGTTGACTTGAGTGGTCTGGGTCCTTCTTCCCCACACACCAAGCAATTCAGATTCTTCACAACGGACAAGCCAGGTGTCCACTAATTCAATTTGGTTCTGACACTCTCCACCTGGAGATAGTGTCAGATCTCACAGGTTGAAGGCTGAGTCCCACAAGACTCCAGACGTCAGTCACAAGTCCCCAGCTAGAGCCTGTGCCGATGGGAGCAGGCTATAAATCAGTTGTCTCCTCATTGCCTGCTCAGGGCTGATAAACTTGCTAAGAGCAGCTCACTGAACACAGGGGCAACATTTCCTAGTTGCTACGAAGGGCGTTCTAGAAGAGACAGATATGCAGCCAGGCGGAAGGGATGCGTAAGACAAGGTGTGGGAGAGACATGTTGAACTTCCACGCCCTGCCCAGGTGCCGCCCCTCTAGGAACCTCCACATGTTCAGTTATCTATCTGAAAGCTTCCAGAATCTGCTCCTTTGGACCTCTAGGGAAGTTTATTTCATAAGTATGGATGATCATGTCACCGGACACTGATGATCAACTAAATGTTAAACCCCTTTCCTGATAGGTGAGGAAGCCCAACCCTTCAATCATGCCTTCATCTTTTTTTTTTCTTTTTTTGAGACAGGGTTTCTCTGTATAGTTTTGGTGCCTGTCCTGGATCTTGGTCTATAGACCAGGCTGGCCTCGAACTCACAGAGATCCGCCTGGCTCTGCTTCCCGAGTGCTGGGATTAAAGGCGTGTGCCACTGACCCCGGCTTTCACCTTCATCTTTCCAGTGACTAGACACCCCCCACACACACACCCTAAAACTTCCTAGAGGGCCCTGGCCTCCAATCATTTCAGTGTTATCCCAAGAAAGAGCCTCCATCACTTGATGACTTCAAGAGGTCTGGACCTATGTGACAGAAAACGGGATGGACACCAGGTGTGTATTTTCCAGTATCACACAAAATTAAAATTTTCCAATAGCAGGCCCTCATATTGCTATATCCTACTAAACTGACTTCTTGAGTAGTAAGGAGATTGTTATGATAAACCATCAGACAACAAGACTGTCTACAAAGAAATCTTAATTAGGAAAGCACCAAAGGTCAAAAAACAACTTAACTGTTTAGGTATGAGGTACCTATTCACTCCTTGCTGTGGACTACCTTTGTTTATGCCTCATATCCTGGCACAATTATAAGTGTGCTTGCTTCTCTCAAAAATGGAGCCGTTTGGACAAGGGTTTCTACAACATTTCAACTACGTAGAAATTAAAACCATTCCTTTTCTACTTGGCTTTCTCTTGCTGTGATGAAATGCCACGAGCAAAGCAACTTGGGGAGGAAAGGGTTTATTTGGCGTACACACTCCAGATCACTGACCACCACTGAGAGAAGTCATCGCAGGCACTCATGGCAGGAACCTGGAGGCAGGAACTGAGGTAGAGACCATGGAGGAACATTTCTTACTGGCTTGCTCAGCCTACTTTCTTATACAACCCAGGACCATCTGCCCAGGGGCAACACTGTTCACTGTAAGCTGGGACCTCCCACACTAATTATTAATCAAGAGAATATCCACCAGAGTTGCTGACAGGCAATCTGATGGAGGCATTTTCTCAACTGAGATTTCCTCTTTCCAAATGCTCTAGTTTGTGTCAAACTGATTGACCAAAAAACCAAAACTAACCTGCACAATTCCTAAGCATTCGTTGCCAAAAAAAAAAGAAAGCTAAAATTTTCAAAACCAATACCATATACAGAGAGGGACTACACAACCAGCTTTCAAACTCCCCAATTATGAAAGAGTTAATAAGCATTTTAACTTACACAGCTGTTAAATTATGAAGGGCGCATCCACACGCAAGATTATGAAACTTCCTCAGACATAAATGTGGAGCTTGGCCTTGCAACCTAGATTCGGGAAAGTCCCAGCCCAATTCTACCCCCCCACCCCCGCCCCCATCACAGGGATTCAGGAGAGAGGCACAGTGACTCAGCATTTCTAGGCACTCACTAAAATGTGCTTCAGTGCAACAGAACCAGAGTGGAGGAAAGGTCCAAGTTCACAGATACTAATATCAAAACTTATTTTTTTAAAAAGCAGTACGGATGGAGTTCTATGCTTTCTCGTTGTAACTTTTGGAAGGCAGGTAAGCTGGCAAGTGTGTCTCTCTCATCATTGATATTTAACAAGTCATCATAAGATCCAGTGGAAAACATGCAATACGGTGCGATCCTACTTAGCAGCAGAAACTCCATTTTGTCCCGGTCTGTCATTCTGCCCTGAGCTGCTTCCCACAATTTCCTGAGGCTAGGCTGCAGCCCCCCTAACCATACCACCCCCTTCTGGTTGGCTGACTCAGAGCTGATCCGGACCACCAAACCACAGAACTCCAGACTGGCTGTCACCGAGGAAAGTCCCCAACTGCTTCTCCCCATATTACATTATGTTGGATGGGACTCTAGGGCTGTCTCTTGGCGGTTTCCCCCTTTAAAACTGGCTGCTGCCCCAGCGGGGACCTGACTGGCTGCTGCTCCTGCCTCGGACCCAGTTTGGAGCCTGAACCCTGCCGCCTCCTTGATACCAGTTTTTTTCTAAATAAATTTTGGCCTTGCTCGAACCCGGTCTTTTGTGATGGATTATTCCCGGATTCTGGACCCTAACAATACTTCTTATCAACCAGCCCAAAAAAAGGCTTAAAGATGCAAGGGAAGAGGAAACCAGAGACCACAAAAGGAAATTTCAGGGCGCCACCAAATCAGATCGGCACTATTAAAATCTGACCCAGGCACATCTCAGAATCTTGCTTATGTCATGTCTGTGTCTTCTAAAGAACAAATATTTTTCGTCTTTGCAAACCTTATCTCTTATCTGTGCACCCTTACCATACAGCTTTGCATATGAGAAATGTACAACAGATATTTATTGAAGTAAACTAATAAGAAAAAAAAAAGACTTTCAAATATCATCCCTGCCTAAACATTCTTTTCAAAAGTAGAAAAGAAGTCCGTCTGGGGGGGGGCGTGTCAAGAAGCTTAGTCCCTCCAATATCAAGCCAGTGCGCCACAGGAGCACTCTGTCCCTCTGCATAAGTGACAGGTAAAAGGTCAACAGATATTACTACCAGAAAGCCAGACACAGGATGTGGAATCACACCCACAAGCAGAACAGCCATCTAAGGCTAGACCATAGGACAAGCATTAGTCACAGAGTCCAACACCTGAGTTAAAAAAGAAATTCCACTGAAATTTCTTTCAGATCTCAGCTGAGGAGGGCTTAGACCTTCTCTAAAGCAGGCTTTGAGGCAGCTTTGGCCTTCCTCCAGCGCCCTGTACAAAGGCCCTTGAGTTTAAGAACTGTCACCACAGAGTACAGACCATCCCCCACTTGTCACAGGGATCATTTATAAGGGACGCTATTCAGTCCTCAATGCTTGCTATCAAGGGGGCCTTGGATGTCTCTTCCTAAAGACAATATCCACTCCTTCTCTCCATAAGGCATGAAGTGTTAGTTGATCCACTAAATTTCAGAAAACCCTCTGAGGGGAAGGCTTGGCAGAGGAGAAGTTCATCATCGCAGCCATGGTGGACAACAGCCCCTTCAAAATCACACAAACAGGGTTAACAAGGTTATTCAGTATGAAGAAAGCTTTGTCTCAGGGACCTCACTTGTCCTAAAAATAGTAACAATTAACAGTTCAAACCTAATAGCTGCTTTACGCCCTTTAGAAGAGTCAGCGAAGACCTTATATCCCTATCCACCCATTTATGAAATGGGGAAAGGTATCGTACTTACCTCTGTTTCAGAAAACTACGCACATTAATTGCAAACCACAGACACCTTGCTTAAATTCTACATGCTTAACTATCTCCTGCTCTTGCCAAGTGAACAGGAACAATCCAGAAGGAAACACATAACCTAAGGGGTCTGTTTTCTGCACCTAAAAAAGAACAGAGGCTCCCGCTACTTCACTGTGGAGACCTGCTTCGGGTCCCAAACATCATCACTTCAAGCAATGAGATGCAGGAGAGGGATCCCTTAAACTCTTGGGCCATCATACACTCTGTCTTGATTTGAGTCTCTTTTTCAAGCTCCATGCCACTTTCTAAACTAACCCGAAGGTAAAGCAAATGTTCACCGCTGATGCGGTGCCCTCAAGGATGGTGTCAACCCAAACGAGTTTCTATCTTATGCAAGTCATTCGTTCCTGTTCTCCATCGTCTATTGAAAAGTCGAATTGTTTACTGACTGAACATACCATAGCAGTGGCCCCACCCCACCCAATGCCCAATTAAAGAAAAAAAGTAAACTCAAATGCAAGTTCTACACGGAAAGCCACACTGCCTGTCAGCAAGGCCTTCTGGGTACAGACTGCTAGGAGCTTTTATCTCCTGGAAGGTAGGTTCCTGCATCCTTACATAAAGGCTCCCAGAAAGAAGTTCACTCTGTTGTTTAGTGCCAACGGCACCTGAGAGACACCGGGGACCGAGTTTCTCACAGGACATCTGAAATTGCTCAGTTTCCACTGAGTCAAAGAAACCAGCGGTAAACCCCGTCCTGGTCGATCCCAAGTTCATTTCCTCTAGTTTCTCTTCTATCGTCATATTAATTGCTTTCTTAATAAAATGCTACACTAAAATTTGTGAAATCAGATTCTGGCAGAAAGTCAAATCGAAGGAGAACTCTTAATGGCAGCTACTTGGGCACACTCAGCCTCCTCCTGCCTACCTTGTTGTGTTTCTCTTGGTGTCTGGCCTTTGTGTCAAGAACATGATAGGGGCTTTCTGAGTCCTGGTTGATGTAATACACCAGTCTTGAAGGCAGTGTGATTTCCTTCTGCATGGCACTGCTGTCGCTGATATTACTGCTGCTATTCTGTTGCAATGTCTTGGCTTCCTCGGCCAGGATTCCCAGGGCTTTTTCTGCAGTTTCATTCCAGTGCGGAGCTGCGGGGAACAGGAAGCACAAACATACACAAACATACACATATACATCCAGGAAACGTGGAAACTCTGAAGTGCATCTTTCCGTGAATTCCGTTAACAAAGTTTCCCATTTATAAGGGGGTGGTAGGAAGGGAAGACACAGGAAAAACGAGTGACTGGACCAGCGGGATGGCCTGGATAGGTTAGCAGCCAGGGAAGCTTATACAATCATGTACTATAGTCATGTATACTTTTTCTAGCTAGTCTTGGATCTGAACGTCCGAACTAGGAGGGTGCTGGGACAGAATAGGCTTAGCGAAGAGTCAGCAACTGGGCATGCTCAAGTGTCCTGACCCTCATCCCCTCCCGTTTCGGAGGGCAGAGCGGCTCAACTATTACCGAGCTTAGTAGCATCCCATCTGGGACCTAAGAACACTCCTGAAATAACTTGGGGCCTGAATTCACAGGCACTGAATGTAAAGTGATTCTTTCAACAATACATATATATGATTCCCTGTTCTTCTTAACTTTGAGATGAGGGGGCAAAAACTGTTTTTGCCGTAAAGGGCATATAGATGCTGGCGGCTTTCCAAATTCTTTTTCTTCTACTGCCAAGGCCAGCTTTCTGCTTTCAGTGACTTCCAATCACCAGTGTGCTCAACACTGTATTATTCTGATTGCTCATTATGACAAGCATTTTGGGAAAACACAGCCAAAGGTCATGCGCAAAGTGTGTCTTGGAGACTTTCATTCTCTGGTCCCCAAAGTATGCCTCCCTCACCTTAATTCCAACAACAGGGACTAAACCTAGTGGAGAATTTGAGGAAACAAGCATTTGCCACTCTCGTTGCATGCTCCCCGCATTCATATGAAGGTTCCCCAAAGCAAGAAGCAACTTGCTCGCTCACTGCACCTCCCTGCCCCTGGAAGTTACATAGAGAGCGCTAAAGGACTCAGGAGCCCCGAAATACCTCTGGGTGGAACCCACAGTCACTGGAATGGGTCTTTCGTGAATGCAAGAGAAACGGACTTGCAAAAGTGAACTAGCATGAACCTGGGCTTGGGACTGAGAAGGGTGGAGAGGTCGACAGGGAGGCGCTCAAAAGGCCAGGCTGGGGACCCACACGTCCAGGGTACACGCACCTGCGTGCCCTTCTCTCTCCTCCCCAGGGCCCCGCGGGGAAGGCAACGCAAAGGGCACCGGCCATACCCACCGCTGGGCGCAGCGGCCCCCCGGGCTCGGGGCCGGGACGAGGCGGCGAGCGCAGGCAGCAGGAGAAGGACGAGGAGCAGGCG